GCAAACCATTTCTTCAAAATGCAAAGTGGAACCACATGCGCATGCATTCACCGGCTGATAGGCGACTGACCGTTCCCAAAGCGAGCTGGTGGGCTTGCATGTGCCTGTCGTCTTGACAGCCCAGCTATCGGATTCACAGAGCCCATGCACACATTCAGCATGGCTACCGTCTGTGATACAGTCGCCTTGATCCTCCGGGCTTCGGAGCCAACATTGTCGTATTGCTCCAGAAGAAGTTGACAACAATCGCTTTCCTGTTGGCCTAAGGCTTCTGTACACTGAACCTGTTGTTAAGGCGTAATCTAAGCAGCACATTTATGCCCTCCGGCTTTTCGTTAAAGCTGTTTTTTCAGTTTCTTGCGCCCGAAGCTGATGCCTATTCATGCCTCGGGCCATTAACGCAAACATCGGAGGAACCGTCTTTTGCTTTATTTCATACCTTATGGCCAGTACTTGTGCATGCGCCCTGCAAAGAAAGAGATATTTAGACGCTATGTGAACGAGATTGAAATATATTTGGGCAGATTTATAGACAGACAGATAAATAGATAGATGGCATGATATATAGACTGATATATAAAAGAATTTAAATTAATGGATTTATATATATATTTATATATATATATATATAGAAAGAATCGAAAACTGTGAGGAGCTCGAGACCTTTCCACGATTTTTCCACATGTTTATGCGTCTGTCGGTAAGGCTTTCAATTGCGCCGGCAGCGGTGGGCTTGGCTGATTGTACCATGAATCCGATTAATGATTCTAGAGGCCAAGATGCAGTGGGTGATATCAAAGATGATGTGCTCGATGATGTGATCCCCATCGCGAAGAGTCCTAGTGACGGGAAGTTGGACTCTTTGCATTGGGCGATGTGGCATAAAATGCCTTGAATTCTGAACCAAATCTGAAACCAGGAGCTGGGTTAGGCAACTGAAAGATTCCCATGCGAGATCGCCTTTGGCAGAGAGTGCCGTAGAGGTTTAAGCCAAGTCGAGTCTGTCCATTTTCACTGCGACCAACCGACCAACCACCGGCAAGACAGTCGATGGGCATTCTTCAGTTCCGAGAGAAGGAGTGCTGACAATTCAACGTAATGCATCTCTTGTTCACCTGAACACTTCCACTTTAAACTTATCCTGTTGCCCACAAAACAATAGCAGGCGACGGCAAGACCAAGACCAATCGTTATGATCGCTTTAACT